GTTCCATGATTTGCAAAATGGTTGATTGGTGCCATGAAAACCATTTTTATGGTTACTCATGTATCAAGTGCATAAGGTTAGAATAAAGTGGCTGTCTGCCTAAAGAGGGGTTACCATATTATTATTTATCCAGTTCTAAATGAATACAAGTTCATATTATCAATCTACGTTTAAGTAAAGTTGTGAATTTTTGTGATCCTTATCAAAGTGTGAGTAGTATATATATTAATTTGTGGAACATTTTACCGAACAGTAAATAAAGTGTCATTGTTCGATGAGGACAAAATCTGACAATGTTCATATTCAAAAGTTTGTAACGGTGGTTCCGCTCGACGTCATATTCTGGCAAGTACGAATGTTTCGCTTCACGAACACGGCATCAATTATGGCCAACGACCAAGAAAATTGTCTTGAAGAACGGCTCTTGTGTGAGTGATATCACTCATTGATTATAGTTCCAGCATGGTAAACAAGAAGCTTGGAAATGTAGGTTAAGCACATAACCAGCGGCTCTGGACATTCCAAAACATAAAGGAAGTCTCTGGTCGTAGAATACATTTTATGACAAACGTTTAATTTGACCTAGATTTTTCAGCAACTGTGATTTATGACACTGAAGTAGCAAGAGAGCTAATATGATTAATGTCATACTGAGTTAGTTAAGGCCCTGGTTATTATTTTACGTGTATAAGTTATATGTGTAGTTATAACCATAAAATATAACCTGTTAATCAGGAGTATACAATCTCCAGTGAAATCGCCGAGAGCAACAGGTTTCAGGATGAAACCCAGGGAGCTGGTAATGAAGTCACTTTATGATTACTATTAGTATCATGTGTAGTCTGAGGTATACATATACACCTTTCATATATACATCTTTCATATATACATCTTTCATATATACATCTTTCATATATACATCTTTCACATATACATCTTTCATATATACATCTTTCTTATATACATCTTTCTATATATACATCTTTCATATATACATCTTTCATATATACATCTTTCTTATATACATCTTTCACATATACATCTTTTCATATATACATCTTCACATATAATACATCTTTCATATATACATCTTTCATATATACATCTTTCATATATACATCTTTCATATATACATCTTTCATATATACATCTTTTATATACATCTTTCTCATATATACATCTTTCATATATACATCTTTCATATATACATCTTTCATATATACATCTTTCACATATACATCTTTCATATATACATCTTTCATACATACATCTTTCATATATACATCTTTCATATATACATCTTTCATATATACATCTTTCATACATACATCTTTCATATATATATACATCTTTCATACATCATCTTTATATATACATCTTTCATATATACATCTTTTCTTATATACATCTTTCACATATCTTTCATATATACATCTTTCATATATACATCTTTCATACATACATCTTTCACATATACATCTTTCACATATATACATCATCTTCATATACATCTTTCATATATACATCTTTCATATATACATCTTTCACATATATACATCTTTCATATATACATCTTTCATATATACATCATACATACATCTTCATACATACATCTTTCATACATACATCTTTCATATATACATCTTTCATACATACATCTTTCATACATACATCTTTCATACATACATCTTTCATACATACATCTTTCATACATACATCTTTCATATATACATCTTTCATACATACATCTTTCACATATACATCTTTCATACATACATCTTTCATATATACATCTTTCATATATACATCTTTCATACATCTTTCATATATACATCTTTTCATCATCTTTCATATATACATCTTTCATATATACATCTTTCATATATACTGAGTATACATCTTTCATATATACATCTTTGATACATCTTTTACATAACATCTTTCATACATCATCTTTCATATATACATTGTGGTATTATACTGGTATTCAGTTGCTATAAATATAAATAATAATAAATATATCTCTACAGGCACAGCGTACAGCAGAACAGTACAATACCCACATCATCATCAGCTAAGTACAATCATCAGCTAAGACACATCATCAGCTAAGACAGTACCCGTATCATCAGCTAAGACAGTACCCACATCATCAGCTAAGACAGTACCCGTATCATCAGCTAAGACAGTACCCACATCATCAGCTAAGACAGTACCCGTATCATCAGCTAAGACAGTACCCACATCATCAGCTAAGACAGTACCCAAGACAGTACATCATCAGCTAAGACAGTACCCACATCATCAGCTAAGACAGTACCCAAGACCGTACCCACATCATCAGCTAAGACAGTACCCATATCATCAGCTAAGACAGTACCCACATCATCAGCTAAGACAGTACCCGTATCATCAGCTAAGACAGTACCCACATCATCAGCTAAGATAGTACACATCATCAGCTAAGACAGTGTATTTTCATCAGCTAGCACAGTATCTTCATCATTTGCTAAAACAGTGTATTCATCAGGTAGCGAGGTACCTACATCATCAGCTAGCACTACACTCACATTACCTTGTACACTGTTTCACTTGTGAGAACTATGGCATCGTGGCAATTCACTGCTACGAGTCTAATCAGTGGAAATCACTGTCAGGCCACATGAAAACATGGGAATGTTCACATCTCGTTAATGTCATATTTAATGTCATATTTAATGTAGCTGTTTGACAAATATCCGGGAAATGGGTTATCATCATTAAGCAGAACCATATTTCTTGGCAGGCTGTATATTTGTAAGTTTGCCAGTCGCCGGTTGTAGCCAAACAAATGTATATCTCTCACCCCCACCACCACCTATTTCGTTTTCAGTGGGTCTTATTGACGATGTTAGTTGTCAAGTTTAACGGATGAATGATAACATTGTCTGATGTCCGTTGTACTTACAGTTATGTGTGTGGGCAAAAAGACTTTCCGAAATATAGGAAGTCCGTATAAGCTATTTTCTGTACTCTGATGGGTGTCAAACCAAAGTACCTTCCCACATTAACGGCTCGGATTGAAGACTTTTCGAATCGATGGCCAGTTAACAATTCAAACTACTGTATGACATCCAGTGAACTGTTTTAGATGAAGAAATTCTTTCGTTGAATGCTTTGTCTCCCCCCCCACCCCCCACCCCCCTTTGAAAATTTCTGGATCCGCCTATGCTGTATATCAAAACGATGGTATAGTCAGAATGCTTGTTGACTAGAGGCTTTAACGCACCACGCTCGTCTCCAAAAGGTGATACCCAATGTATTTTCGACTTTTTGCACTGAATTTGCAAAACGTGAAAATATTTTTCTTTCCGCCCCTGGACCATTTATTTCAAACAGTTCTTTTCACCTCGAAGTTCGCCTCGATCAGCTACAAGATTGTTTATGTTGAGTTAAACATTAATCACTCACCCACTAACTCTTTTCAAAGTTGATCCAGTTTTTTTCTTCATGTTGCGTGCACGTTTTATCTGGGTTCTTTGTTATCCAATAACCATGTTTTCTTTGGGTACGTTACGTTTGTTTTGCCTGTGTTTTGTGCACCCAAAGTGTTAAATTATCAACGCTATCGGTAAGTACACTATATACACAGTAGATGCTGTTGTTTCTGTTTTTCCTCCTTTCAATCAAACAGTCTTTTTGACGCGTACACACATTTTATGCTTTTTGAAGTGTTTCTTCGGCTGCGTAGACAAAAAATCAGGAATAAAACGTATTTGTTTTGGTTCCTTAAAGCATAAAGGACACGTGCTCTCTTGAAAGACACAGTCCCCTGCATACTGAACATAACCTTGCTATTACGTGTTCGAAAACTGAGGTTAATTAGTATCAGCTTTCTCACATTTTTCTTGTTAATATTTTCAGTTTAAGAACAAATTATATGTGAATAGAATGTTGTTGTCGTTAGACGATTGTTCAAAACAATTCAATGTACACGTAATGACGAAAATATGTTGGTTGTTGTTACGGAGTACTAGGTGAATATTTAGAATATAAACTGAAACTATATGAATAAATGTTGTTTTGTAGTTCCAGGGTGGTAGACGATTGTTCGGAACGGTCAAACGTACACGTATATATGTTGTGTTGTTACGGAGTATCAGGTGAATATTCGGAATAATTGAACTATATGAACAAATGGGTTTTTTGGTTCCAAGGTGCTTGACGATTGTTCCGAACAATTAATAAGCACACATATAAATGCTTTGTTGTTCCAGGGTGCTAGAAGATTGTTCAATTGTTCCAGGGTGCATGACGATTGTTCCAGGGTGCATGACGATTGTTCGTAACAATTGAAAATATACATGTAAATGTTGGTGTGTTGTTCCATGGTTCTAGACGATTGTTGAAACAATTAAAAGTACACATCAATGTTGTTTTGTTGTTCCAGGGTGCTAGACGATCGTTCGACCAATTAAAAGTACACATCAATGTTGTTTTGTTGTCCCAGGGTGCTAGACGATTGTTCGAGCAATTAAAAGTACACATCAATGTTGTTTTGTTGTTACAGGGTGCTAGACGATTGTTCGAGCAATTAAAAGTACACATCAATGTTGTTTTGTTGTTAGACGATTGTTCGAGCAATTAAAAGTACACATCAATGTCGTTTTGTTGTTACAGGGTGCTAGACGATTGTTCGAGCAATTAAAAGTACACATCAATGTTGTTTTGTTGTCCCAGGGTGCTAGACGATTGTTCGAGCAATTAAAAGTACACAAATGTTGTTTGTTGTTACACACGATTGTTAAATTAAAAGTCAATGTCGTTTGTGTTGTTCCATGGTGCTAGACGATTGTTCGAGCAATTAAAAGTACACATCAATGTTGTTTTGTTGTTACAGGGTGCTAGACGATTGTTCGAGCAATTAAAAGTACACATCAATGTCGTTTTGTTGTTACAGGGTGCTAGACGATTGTTCAGAACAATTAAAAGTACACATCAATGTTGTTTTGTTGTTCCAGGGTGCTAGACGATTGTTCGGATGTTGTGTGCGCTGTGCCGGTGGTTGTTTTCGTCAGCTGACAATGGTTCTAGGGTGGCAAAATATTACGGAACGACCATACCACAAGCACCCCTCAGCAGTCCCCAAGAGAGACGCACGATGCATCTACGCGGTGTGTCTTGCTGCAAGCATCATCTCCATCTTCATCCTGGCCTATGTGACGTCATACAAGATCAACAACGGCCATTTTGTAAGACATTATCAACTCGGCGGCGTGCAGTCTGCTCGCAGTGGAAATGGAACAGACGAAAGTACCATGCAAATTGTGGGTTTTGTTAATAAAAATGGTGACCATATACGATTAGACTCGATAATGGGATACTCCCCAAAGGTGTTCTCGAACTCCGGTGGAAGAAAAATGGCAGTGACACTAAGCCTGTCGGTCCCACGGCCTCGGGGGTCGGTTTTGGGGGCCGGGCCAAGTTGAATTGTGAACCTGGGAATCATACGTCGGACATACTCAGCATGGTAAGTGGGTCTTCCAGAGCAGTGGAATATAACGCCGTACTCGACTGCACTTTAGATATAGATAACCGAACAAACCTGTGACCTGTCTCATGAACATCGATCCTTGAGCGGGTGATTGGGTAGCCTGGTGGTTAAAGCGTTCGCTCGTCACGCCAAAGTCCCGAGTTCGATTCCCCACATGGGTACAATGTGTAAAGCCCATTTCTGATGTCCCCAGCCGTGATATTACTGGAATATTGCTAAAAACGGCGTGAAACCCAACTCACTCACTCGATCCATAAGATACGATGGCATACAACCGACTGAATCACCTGACACCGTGACCTTTGTGTCTTCACTTACAGCCTGCTCAGGTTGCTGTCTTCAAATTGCATTAAACTATTTTTTAATTTTGTTTTAAAATACAATCCATGGCTAGAATCCAGAGGTGATGTCTAACTTTAGCTGTGGAGAGACACATTAACCACATAAAATAAGGGCAATATGCCAGACATTTAGCTTGTGGAAGTAGTTATATATTGTTTTGTCGACAAGACTTTTCAACGTTTACAGCAAATCCAATAGCTTTAGGTTAGGATATCTGACATGCATTTATTCAAGCTGTAACGGTACGGTGAGGCCAACGATACGATATTTCTCCCGATACCCGTGAAGATCCGGGTTAAAATATTGATCTTTAGTAACCCATGCTTGTCGTAAGAGGCGACTAACGCGATCTGGTGGTCAGGCTCGCTGACTTGGTTGACACATGTCATCGGTTCCCAATTGCGCAGATCGATGTTCATGCTGTTGATCACTGGATTGTCTGGTCCAGATTCGATTATTTACACGCCATATAGCTGGAATATTGCTGAATGCGGCGTAAAACTAAACTCACTCACTCACTATTTCTCCTGATAATAGTGCCGATATAGAATTTGTACTCATATTATGAATTCATTTTCTCTCCCTTTAAGAGGCCAATCTCAACTCTGCATCTTTATGTTTTATCTAAATTTCAGATTAAATTGTGTATTTTGGGAGAGAAGCATATAAGCTTTCGGGCACTGTGCAGATTCTTCTATATATAGCTAATCAGAAATTACAAATTTGTATTACTGGTTCATGAAAATTTTCTGTCATTTTCACGTTTTTACACCACTTTAACCTGTAGTGTAATCGTATGTATTGCGATACAATAGCTGTATATGGAGGTATGATATCGTGAACCTCGAATCGCGATACAATACAGATTGCCGTATCGATACTCGGCTAAATCAAACTGTGTCGTCATATAATTAGAATAGGTTCGCAGATCATCAGTGTGATTGGTCGTACAAGGCGACTAACGGGATCGGGTGGTCAGGTTCGCTGACGACACATGTCATCGGTTCCCAATTGCATAGGTCGATGCTCATGTTGTTGATCACTGTATTGTCTGGCCCAGACTCGATTATTTACAGACCGCCGCCATTTAGCTGGAATATTGCTGAGTGCGGCGTAAAACAACAACCAACCAACCAGTGTGACTGACCCGTGAAGATCCGGGTTAGAATTGGTCTCCAACAACCCGTACTTGTCGTAAGAGGCGACTAACGGGATCGGGTCGTCAGGCTCGCTGACTCGGTTGACACATGTCATCGTATCCCAGTTGCGTAGGTCGATACTCATGATCACTGGGTTATCTGGTCCAGCCTCGATTATTTACAAACCGCCGCCATATAGCAGAAATATTGCTGAGTGCGGCGTTAAACAAGAACAAGAACAAGAACAAGAACAGTGTCGTGATTGTGTCTGTCGATTTCCGGAAGAAGCAGGTGTATTGCTCACAATATAAGACATCACCCAGTCGCATTGTGCTGACGTGAGGATGGTGGCAGTGTAGTGGTGTTTGTTCGTCATACCAACGTCCCTGGTTTGAATCTCCACATCGGCACAATGTGCGAAGCCGTGATAGTGCTGAAAGTGGCTCAAGCCTACCCTCACCGCTCTGCAACATGTTGTTGAGTATATGCCGCTTGGTAAGTTTCATGCGCGCTTTGCTTCACGGTTGCTAAGATTTATTGCTAATGCTCGGAAACATTTTCTTCCAGGCACCCTACAAGTTTCTTCCAAATTTTAAGAATCCATGTTGGTATGAACCGATGGTGAAACCAGATGTGTACAAGACCAACCAGTTTAAACAATTTTCAAAGTATTGCCGTAACTTATTCAAAGACTTAACAGAGGAATGGCGGAAGAAAATGGAACAGGATGCCCAGCCTCGGAGACTTCGATGTCTCCCGTACTTTTTTATTGCCGGGCAACCCAAGTGTGGCAGCACGGACCTGTACTTTAAGCTGATGTCACATCCGGACGTGGTGTCCCCGCCAATGAAGGAGTCTCATTGGTGGGCTAAAAATAGATTTGGTGAGTGTTACAAGATCATCATATGAATATCATTCTGGAGAGATGGGTCCGTAAGTCGTTAATATGTGTCTCCCTTTAGATTTGGGACAGAACAGGTCCTCTGGGCTTCGTGGAACCCCGTTTGGAATCGGGTAGAGTAGGTCTGGAGGCCATTGCCTCACAGCTGTCTTACTATCAGTCGACAGTCTCCAGTCAGGGGTCGGAAAATAGTCTCCTCTAAGGAGGTCGTAGAAACGTCTCCCCTTAGAGGTCGTAGAAATGTCTCCCCTTAGAGGTAGGAGAAACGTCTCCTCTTAGAGGTGGAGAAACGTCTCCTCTTAGAGGTCGTAGAAACGTCTCCCCTTAGAGGTCGGAGAAAAGTCTCCTCTTAGAGGTCGTAGAAACGTCTCCCCTTAGAGGTCGGAGAAACGTCTCCCCTTAGAGGCCGGAGAAACGTCTCCTCTGAGGGGCCTGACAAAGGATTCCTCTTAGGAGGTCGGAGAAAAGACTTCTCTTCGGGGTTGCGAACAGTCTCCTCTTGGAGGCCGGACAAACGTCACCTCTGAGGGGCCTGAGAAAGGATTCCTCTTAGGAGGTCGGGGAAAAGACTTCTCTTCGGGGTTGCGAACAGTCTCCTCTAAGGAGGTCGGACAAACGTGAGAAAGGACTCCTCTTATTGGTCGAGAACAGTCTCCTCTTAGAGGGCGGAGATTAATCTCCTGTTAGTCTTCCCTATGGGTTAGGGAATAATCTGCCCTTGTGGATCAGAGCATAGACTTCGCTAGGGGGTCGGAGGTGGAAAAGGTCAGTAACCCATTCCAGAATTATCTCCCCGTATGAAGTAGAATATGCCCAATAACATGTGACTGTCTCCTTGTGTGTGTTCGGGGACGACAAGGGGCCGCAGTGATGGTGACTGTTCATCCTGGTACTCTTTGAGCCAGTAGGGGTATCTGTATCTATCCAAAACGATTCAAGAATAAATATGGGTAACAGGTAAAATTGGGAATTGTTTAGTTTCTGCTTGTGGGTATAAGAAGTGCCCACCACTGTTAAGTGTTACCTCAGATTTTCTTTATAAGGTTCAAATGGGCCACCATTCGTTCCCACTGAAATGGAAAGTTTCCGTAACACGAAAGTGTCGAGTTGTATCGTACGGGTTTTTGTATGGTATATGGTAGACTAACGACTGTGGTATTGAAAGTAGTATATGATTTTAATGGAAAACGCAACTGCGGTTATAATGAAAACGAGCCTAACTCGATGATAGTTCCAGAACTTGAACTATGGAAAATCCAGGCTTTCATCCAGACTATCACATTACAGTGAATGAAAGGCGGAAGAGAACATATTATGGATAAGGGTTTAGAGGACAGATATGTCATCGCGACCTCATTATCATTATATGACTCACATGGTAACTATGTGTATCATAACTGTCCAACTATCATGGATATTCTATTGCAGTCTGGCACAACAAAGCCTTTTACGTCTGAAATTCAAGATTCAGTACATTTGAATTCAAAGTTGTAAAGATGTGAGGGTGTCTGATTATTGTCTGATAATCAAATATAGACTTATTTTGATCAGATAACGACTCTCTTGATGTAATGTCTATTTCTTTTCTTATTTTTTTACAAAAATCAAATGGTTATAAGCATTAATGTATTTCTGTCATGGAAGCAGTACCTCCATCTACAGACAGTGGAAGGAGGGTGAGACTCATGTATATTACTCTTTATTTCACACCCCTCATGTAATGCGGGGTTGGGGTTGGGGTTGGGGTTGGGATATAGTCGACGCCTTGTCTGTCCTTGCGTCCTTGCGTCCGTCCGTCCGTAATCATTTTGTTTCTGGAGCATAACTCAAAATCCGTTCAAATTGGTGGATATATCAAACAGATAGTATAGTGGTGCCTTTTGCTATTTACAGATTAAAAAAAATAATTTTTTCCTTGGTTTCCATGGAAACATTTTTGGACTTTGTCTCAAAAGGATGGGTGGGCTTCGTTTCCGGAGCACAATTCGAAAACCGTTCAATATCTTTCAAGAAACACCCTTGACAGACTTATCAAACAGACCCTAAAGTGGTGCCTTTCACTATTTACAGATTTTGTGATTTTTATTTTTCTTGGTTTCCATGGAAACGTTCTGGACTTAGTCTACAAAAATCAAGTTGGACTTTAAGTAACTGTCGGACGATTTTTCTTTCAAATTTGTGGGAAACAGGGGGATTTGTCATCTTGTTTACTTTGTGAAATGACAAGCATGCATCTGGTTGAGATATTGTTTATATGCAATAACTTGGTGTTTGTGAAATACCCACAGTGTGTTAGCATTAAATGTTGTAGTTGTATACGCAACTTCAGGTTGGAGACTTAACTTCACGTCCACGATACCAATCAGTGACTACATCGATTTGTACGACAAGGCGGCGTTATTCATGGAACACGTCAACGACCCCAACACATCAGAGGAACAGGAGGGGTACCACCAGTTGATTACAGGTAAACAAACACCTGTTGAATACATGTACAATACCACCAGTTGATTACAGGTAAACAAACACCTGCTGAGTGCATGTACAATACCACCAGTTGATTACAGGTAAACAAACACCTGCTGAGTACATGTACAATACCACCAGTTGATTACAGGTAAACAAACACCTGCTGAGTACATGTACAATACCACCAGTTGATTACAGGTAAACAAACACCTGCTGAGTACATGTACAATACCACCAGTTGATTACAGGTAAACAAACACCTGTTGCATACGTGTATGTACAATAACACCAGTTGATTACAGATATGCAAACACCTGTTGAATACATGTACAATACAACCAGTTGATTAGAAGTAAACAAACACCTGCTGAATATATGTACAATACCACCAGTTGATTACAGGTAAATGAATCTCAAACCGATAGGTAAATGAACACCAAAGTGATAACTGGTAAATACACACCAGTTGATAACATTTATAAACAGCTGAATGCAGGTACATCAACAAACTACAGGCAAAAGGCAATTTCTGAATATATTTTTCTTTAGGTAAAGTACACACACAGCAAAATTCTTTTATTCATATCTCAGGCAATCTCTGGAACCTCATTAACGTTTAAGTTTCCAAGTGTTTCTAAGAGTCTAACAAGATTTTTAGGAACGTTTACATTGATATCAGGGTAGTCTGTCTCACAGTCCTTGAACCACATTATTTTCCCTACTGCCTAGCCCTCCCTGCAGTGCTAAAGCCCTAAATAAAGCAAGTCTAGATTCCCCAGGTTCAGGCTCCCAACTCACTGGGACTTCTTTTCAGTTTAAATGGATTTATTTGTTAGTATGAATATTATAGATATTCAGGGACTAAGCGTTAATCTTATATCAGGGCTGCCTAATCAAAATATGTTTACTGTTGACAGCAGTTTGTCTTTCTCTTCCTTTCTGTTCAATAATTCCCTCCTATTAAATTCTCAACAATCTAGTGATCGGTGTGGTTGGTAGACTAACGCTTCAGCTCTGAAAATATATAATTTAATAGAAGCCAAAAACTCTGCTTCAACTGGAAAGGAGCCCCAGTGAGATTGGAAATTCAGATTCTGCCAATTATTGCAGCTTGCTGTGTATAGTCTATAACACGTCCCTGATGTGAATTAGTTTTCTTGCGATAGTATCAGACCCTGAACCCCAGGAACAACTAGAAGCCTTTTAGGGCTTGACAGGAGGTCTTGGCTGAAGGTATATAATGTTTCAGGGACTTGGATGCTGACAAGGTGTTTAGTGGTTAGAAAGCCCACTAGTTCTGTTTTCCTCTGTTTTAGGTGACGCTAGTGTGTCCACGCTATGGTTCAATGACTACTGGTGGCAGCTGCCGGAGAACTGCGGGTCTGTGGAACCCAAGTACACGAACGCCCACTACATCCGCTACCTTCTACCCAAGGCCAAGATCATCGTAATACTGAGGGACCCGACTGAGAGGTGAGGGTTAACCACGGCGTATGTACTTAGCCATGTAATGATCCCAGGATATGTACTTAGCCATGTAATGATCCCAGGATATGCACTTAGCCATGTAATGATCCTAGGATATGCACTTAGCCATGTAATCCCAGGATATGTACTTAACCATGTAATGATCCCAGGATATGTACTTAGCCATGTAATGATCCCAGGATATGCACTTAGCCATGTAATGATCCCAGGATATGCACTTAGTCATGTAATGATCCCAGGATATGCACTTAGCCATGTAATGATCCCAGGATATTCATTTAGCCATGTAATGATCCCAGGATATGCAATTAGCCATGTAATGATCCCAGGATATGCACTTAACCATGTAATGATCCCAGGATATGTACTTAGCCATGTAATGATCCCAGGATATGTACTTAGCCATGTCATGATCCCGGGATATGTACTTAGCCATGTAATGACCCCAGGATATGTACTTAGCCATGTAATGATCCCAGGATATGCACTTAACTATGTAACCTCAGGATATGTACTTAGCCGTGTAATGATCCCAGGATATGCTCTTAGCCATGTAATGATCTTAGGATATGCAATTAGCCATGTAGTGATCCCAGGATATGCACTTAGGCATGTAATGATCCCAGGATATGCACTTAGCCATGTAATGATCCCAGGATATGCACTTAGCCATGTAATGATCCCAGTATATGCACTTAGCCATGTAATGATCCCAGGATATGCACTAAGCCATGTAATGATCCCGGGATAAGTACTTAGCCATGTAATGATCCCAGGATATGTACTTAACCATGTAATGATCCCAGGATATGCACTAAGCCAAGTAATGATCCCAGGATATGTACTTAACCATGTAATGATCCCAGGATATGCATTTAGCCATGTAATTATCCCAGGATATGCATTTAGCCATGTAATGATCCCAGGATATGCATTTAGCCATGTAATTATCCCAGGATATGCACTTAGCCATGTAATGATCCCAGGATATGCACTTAGCCATGTAATGATCCTAGGATATGCACTAAGCCATGTTATGATCCCAGGATATGCACTAAGCCATGTAATGATCCCAGGATATGCACTTAGCCATGTAATGATCCCAGGATATGTACTTAACCATGTAATGATCCCAGGATATGTACTTAGGCATGTAATGATCCCAGGATATGTACTTAACCATGTAATGATCCCAGGATATGCATTTAGCCATGTAATTATCCCAGGATATGCACTTAGCCATGTAATGATCCCAGGATATGCACTTAGCCATGTAATGATCCCAGGATATGCACTAAGCCATGTAATGATCCCAGGATTTAGCCTTGTAATGATCCCAGGATATGTACTTAACCATGTAATGATCCCAGGATATGCATTTAGCCATGTAATGATCCCAGGATATGCACTTAACCATGTAATGATCCCAGGATATGTACTTAGCTATGCAACAAACCCAGGATATGCACTTAGCCATGTAATGATCCCAGGATATGCACTTAGCTATGCAATAAACCCAGGATATGCACTTAGCCATGTAATGATCCCAGGATATGTACTTAACCATGTAATGATCCCAGAATAAGTACTTAGCCATGTAATGATCCCAGGATAAGTACTTAGCCATGTAATGATCCCAGGATATGCACTTAGCTATGCAATAAACCCAGGATATGCACTTAGCCATGTAATGATCCCAGGATATGTACTTAACCATGTAATGATCCCAGGATAAGTACTTAGCCATGTAATGATCCCGGGATAAGTACTTAGCCATGTAATGATCCCAGGATATGCACTTAGCTATGCAATAAACCCAGGATATGCACTTAGCCATGTAATGATCCCAGGATATGTACTTAACCATGTAATGATCCCAGGATATGCACTTAGCCATGTAATGATCCCAGGATATGCACTTAGCCATGTAATGATCCCATGATATGCACTTAGCTATGCAATAAATCCAGGATATACACTAACCAATGTAATAACGCCATGATTTGCACTAAGCCATGTAATAACCCAAGGATATTCACTTTGCCATGGAATAGCCCAAGGATGTGATATGCGTACCGACATAGCAATGGTTGAATAAATAGCACCAAAGCCAGGAATAAACGAAAATGCATTGTCTTTGTGTAAAGGTGCAATTCTATTGTCAGACTTAACGGACAGGAACAGTGTTCCCAGGCACAGTTATCATGTCAACACTGACAATGGCCCTATTTATATATACCTAACTCCGGATATGACGAAGTGCAGCTGCTAATACACTCAGATCGGTATATGCGAACATCTCCCTGTGACAACAACATGGAACACGAGTAAATCTGCCTCTGCTGCAGGTCGTACTGTATTGTCCACCATCTTGATGTCATTGAGGGCCCATTGTTTTCCAATGAATGTTGATTGACAATGCATGCACAGCATAACTGAACACGACAGAACAGAAATATCGTGTAAACATACACTGAGTTACATATCGAGAATGCATAGGTTATACAGGCATAATATCGACATTGATAAGATTTGTAGGTAAAGATACACATGCATAGGATATACAAGTATAGATGTACATGCTCATGGTATACAGGCATCATATCTAAATGCATACGATATTCTGCTAAGATACATGGATTAGATACACAAGTATAGATACACACACGTCAGATAAACAGGCACGATCTCTCTCACCTGTATATCTTATGCCTATATATATATATATATATACGCAAAAAATGTCCAAAGTAGTACAGGTGTTCAGTCATAAATATTGCATAGATAAATAAAAACAGAATGCCTTTTTCTCCAACATGTTTCGTTCTTTACTCTTCAGGGAGATTATTATATATATAAATTGTTTCTAACTATAACGTCAAAAACACGATGACGTCACAAACGTAACCTTACTGTCACCCATGACAACGTTTTTTACGTCTCCCGCTATTGTCACTAACTGCTTAACGTCATACGCATGATGACGACATAGCTATTACCGTTATGTGTCGCCTATGACGACACTCAGCTTTCATTGTACACACGAAGAGCCGTTGAACGGCGAAAGATCTTGTGCAGATATAAAGAGATTTGACGAGAAGAAATATCTGGACTCATATTTTATATATATATATATATATATACATGTACACACGCACGCACGCACGCACGCACACAGGCATAAGATATAAAGGTGATGATATGCATGCATGAGATACACAAGCAAAGGTCACACAATCATGATATAAATGCATACGATAGACGGGTAAAATATATGTTAATGTAAACGCTAGGGAGGCAGACTAATATTATATACAGACTTTGGCAATAATAATATAGGATATCCACGCCGACATAACGCCGACTGAATAAATAGGAGAGGAAGCCAGACAGATATGTGAAACTCCATCACAATCTGTTGCCTGTGCATTGTTTTCGTGTATAGTGCATCTGTATTCAGGATAGCTGCCTTGTGCGTGTACGTGTCGCCATCAATAACACAATCTTAAGTTGATTACAACATTCAAATTGATAACATTGGCTTCAAGTTCCCTCTTCTAAAGAATAAATGATTTGTATAAAGCGCGAGCCACTTACGAAATGCCATCAATTGTGGAAAGGTTTCTGAAGAGTTTTCCAACATCGACACATATGGTAGGCATGTTGTATGTCTCTAATCAAACCAGGAGAGCCAGACGTGATGCGAGACCAACCTCAAACCATTTGTGCCAGAACCGCTCAGTGTGACTGAGAAGACTCAAGAATCAAAACCAGACGCCATTCCTTATTAAAGAGGTGCGGCAGTTACGTGGAGTCTGGCTTCTAAATTCTTCGCATCGGAAGAATAAACTTGATGAATTATTTGCAGATGGATTCTTCTCACTTCATGTTGCAGTGCAGTGTTGGGAAATCGGATATCTGTTTAATGAAGACCGCTTGAATGTAATGGCGCCGGGTTTTGTGTTACGTTAAATCACTGATTGGGTCTATTAGAAACTGTTGACATTGTATAACCCATTGTGTCTGGAAAATAGGAGTGGTCCTTTAGGGAAAGCCCAACTAATATCTGTCTGTTCAAAGAAGGAAGTAGTCTGTCTCACAGTCCCTGATCCATATTGTTTTCGGTAATCCTTAGCCCTCTCTCCAATGCTAAAGCAATAAATGAAGCAAGTCTAACGGGAACGGGTGGTCAGGCTCGCTTGCTTGGTTCACACATGTCATTGTATCCCAATTGCGTAGATCGATGTTCATGATGTCAATCACTGGATTGTCTGGTCCAGACTCGATTGTTTACAGACCGCTGTCATATAGCTGGAATATTGCTGAGTGCGGCATAAAACTAAACTCACTCACTTTAATTTAATACCAAACCAAATCTCGTTTACGAGCACCAGCATTCGAGATGTCACGTTTAGTGTGCACGTGGAATACCGCAAGTGCGGCGTAAAACTAAATTCACTCACCCACTCTGGCCTGGAACACACGAGCATGTGGATGGTACTGACATATTCAAAGACAATATTCCTTGATTAGAACCTACTATAAGCTGATTCTAGTACAAATATAGGTTTGCGAATTGTGGCGTTTATGATGAACTGGAGCTCATTATCCAAGTGGTTAATCATTCAGGGCGAATTATGACAACGATAATTATCAATTGTCTGGCTATAAATTATTTTCATTGCTCAAGGCTCATCACTTCATGTGAACAGTACTGTTTTCAGTTTTGTTTCGGGTTTTGTTTTCAGACTATACTCGGATTACCTTTATTTCCAAAAACACCGGAAGTCACCGGACGATTTCCACCGAGAAGTATTGATGGCCATCAGCTCCCATGAAAGATGTGTGAACAAAACTACACTGCGGTCGTGTATCAATAACAGAACGATCGCCAACACTGCCAGGGTAAGTGCCTGTTAATGAGTGAGTGAGTGAGTTTGGTTTTACACCGCTTTTAGCAATATTCAAGCAATATCACCGCGGGGAACACCACAAATGGGCTTCACACATTGTACCCCTGTGGGGAATCGAACCCGGGTGTTCAGCGTGACGAGCGGACGCTTTAACCACTTGACTACCCCACCGCCCCAACGTCGTAGTAAGACAGGATAAGTCCTAATTTGGCTGAAAGCCGATTCGTCGATCCATGATGTGCAACATATATGTCTATTACTTACATATACTTGTACTGTTATGAATCTGCGGGGGCGGTGGGGTAGCCTAGTGGTTAAAGCGTTGGCTCGTCACGCCGAAGACCCGGGTTCGATTCCCCACATGGGCACAATGTGTGAAGCCCATTTCTGGTGTCCCCCGCCGTGATATTGCTGGAATATTGCTTAAAAGCGGCGTAAAACTAAAACTCAGTCAGTCAGTCAGTTATGAATCTGCGTATGTCTGTGTATTCATTATTTTGAGGACGGTCCATAGTCCAAACGAATAGATAACGTTATGTGGGGAATCGAACCTGGGTCTTCGGCGTGACGAGCGAACGCTTTAACCACTAGGCTACCCCACCGCCCCCAAGTGCCTGTTACTTCAACCCGTTGGTGGAGTGAGTGAGTTAGGTTCTACGCCACTTTTAGTACCCCGGAGGACACCAGACATTGTACCCATGTAGAGAATCGAACCCAGGCCTTAGGCGTGTCGAGCGAACGCTTTAGCCTCAAGGCTACCCCACCGCCCTCTTAGAGTTAGTGAATGGCGGATAGATGAATTATGTGGCCACGATGTCGGCTGTGAAGTCTTAGGTCGCAGGTCGATAAACCTCGAACAGCTGGCGCTGCATTCTTGTCTGTGGTTCGAGTCCCGCTCCGATTTGTTTGTTCGTTGCAATGATGATCTCACCAACATAGTTTAATTTATGAGTTTAGAACTGAATTTTTAAACGTTTTTGGCAGGAGTCCAGTTCAGACATCTCTCCCGTTTCCCAACTAGTTAATCTGTCGTACAGAACCAGTGATAATTAGGGGAGCCATCAATATCTAAATTAGAAGGTATCGTGAGAATTGGTTGAACAGACTGCAAATCGTTCCAAGTAACGTATTTGGAACTTGAGTCCTTGAATCATTGTTCTTACGGATATTACCAAAAGGTTAACCCGTCTTTCTGTGATATACGAGCACTGGCGTTGGCGTATAGGTTCTGGATACGGAGTCCTGAAGGATTCCTCTTCCAACTTCTTCAAATTCCTTGGCAAATTTTAGTCGCACTTTTCTGTGATTGGGTTTTTCACCCAAACTAAGACCAAAACGGCTTTGTTTCAAAAATGTGTTTTGGCATTGGCATACCATAAATCCCATTATGGTGCCGGTGTGCGGTCTTGTGCATAGAGCGCAGGTCACAAATCAGTTGACGTTAGCCAACGTTGGTCACGGAGAGTCCTCGGATGGGTGACCGTGTTCGGCAGCTTGACTCCTAAGAGTTTCTAGGACTCCTGTCCTGCACCACAACGAAGCACATGTGGTCTCACCTTAGGCAAGTGAGTTTGTTCAAAATTGCCACTGTTCACCCAGCAGAAAATGGGTACCCGGTGGTATAAGTCATATGACTATTAACCTTCTAGCGTATGCACAGGCAGCTTGGGTTATCCCGGGTAATAATGTCCACGATGTTGTATGCGCTTAGAGCATGTCTCTCCGGCGTGGAGTTCAATGCTATATAAGTGACCTATTATTATTATTATTATTATTAATTACTATCGTATACGGACGTGGTCCGATTGCTACTTGGACGTCTTTTTTAATCCCCAGTGCGCTATTACGATTCCGAAACTTCAAACAGGTAATGTTTCCCCCGATGTTTTAATGAAATTACTAAAGCGGCGTTAAAGCAATACTCACTCATACGACTGCACGTGTAAATATGTATATTGACCATACCAATGTACGTATTGTTTGTCCATGCAATTCGACGTATTGATACATTCACTGTTCATACACTGTATGTATTTATATGTTTATTGTCCGTACGGCTGTACGTATTCATACGGTCATTGATCATACAACTCCAGCAAGGCAATGATACGTTCATTGGTCATACGGCTGAAGTATTTTCAAGTGTATTATTGTACCTATACGTAATCATACGTTTATTACGTGTTCGGTGGTTACAGGTGCGGCTACGTATAGGGATGTACTATGCATACATACAGGAGTGGCTGCGGGTGTTCCCTCGACACCAACTCCACATCGTCAGACTCGAAGACTACGCCGACGAACCCATGGACATCCTCAAAGGCATCTTCAAGTTTCTCACGCTCAGTAAGTGCTAGCTAGGTGTCTATGTTTTTAGACAGAGTAGCTTTTCTGGCAGCGCTTAAAAACATATGAAACTATATTTTTAGCGCTTACTGAAAACAATTCTGAACACAATTCTTTGCAAAGATCGTTGACCTTACGAAAGGAATGTCAGTAGTATGACGTGTATGTTGGTTCGTCTTGCAACAAGAATGAATCTTATGTTCCCTGAATAGAACGCAGAACCGTTGTTGCGAAATTATGCATCTGGTGAACAGACATCGTTCTTAAAATATGTGTGTGGAAATTATGTAACAAGGGGAATTGCATGAGGTCTAATTTTAAGATTTAGACTCTTTTCCTAGCATTCCGATCATAGAATGTGTTCGACACCGCCCCAGAAATAGTTTCAAACTGTGTTTACTAATTAACCACTGTAATATACGTTTGCATTTTCGTCGACGATGTATCGCTTAAGATGCATGGCTTGACTTGCACTTTGGTTCATATTAATTTCCTCGTAATTTCAATATTATGAAATATTTCGTATTCACTCACTGTGTCTTTGCAATACTTTCCGGCGAACCCGTGAAGTTCCGAGTTAGAATTGGTCTTCAGTAACCCATGCTTGTCATATTTAAAGAGGCGATCGGGTGGTCAAGCTGGCTGAATTGGGTCGAATCATCGAATCCCAATTGCGTAGATCGATGCGCATGATGTTGATCACTGGATTGTCTGATCCAGACTCGATTCTTAACAGACTGTCGCCTATAGTAGTATATAGCTGGAATAGTGCTGAGTGCGGCTTAAAACTAAACTCATTCACTTTAATTTAATACCAAACCAAATCTCGTTTACGAACACCAGCATTCGAGATGTCACCGCGAGCACTCCACAGCAATACGTCACAAATACAGAGTGGAAGGAATTCTCACGCGCATCTATAGAGCACTGTTCAGTCGTTCAGGTTTTATATTCGCTCTAACGCCTCTCGGCCATGGAGAAACGAAATCTATTTTTAAATGAAACCAGTGCTGGGAATGCCTTTCAGTAACTCTAAAAGTGTGTTACTTCTGTTAACACTTATGTGTAGATACCATAAGGGCATGTTACAATGGGATAAGAAACACAGGTGGTTCATTGTATCCCAATTGCGTAGATCGATGCTCATGCTGTTGATCACTGGCTTGTCTGGCCCAGACTCGATGATTATTTACAGACCGCCCCAATATAGCTGGAATATTGCTGAGTGCGGCGTTAAACAACAACCAAACCACATCATGGCACTAATGATGATCCAAGTCATTGCTCGCTCGCCTCTTACGACAACATGTCATAACGGCTATCTCAATCAGCTGTCGACATCTACAGTATCGTAAAGACACGTATGATATATACTTTAACAAATCAAACAGAAACCAGTAAGTGAAAGATATCAAGACAACATTTCCGGAAATGTTTTACAAGCGTCGGCAAATAAACATTCCCGATTACCTCTTCCATCTTAAATAATATAATTTTGGGAAAGATCCACATTACGCTAATTTATTACCCCGAACATTCGTGTTGGGATGCTAACATGTTTCCCGAAAACGCTAGATCAGTTTGATTACACAAGCAAATGTACAACATTCAAGTTACATATTCTTTATAGATCGAAGTGGTTAACTCGATATATAGTTTTCCTTTGATGTGTAATCCATATTAATTTAAATACTCCGATTGCTACTGAAATATATATCTTCGGACCATTTATTCCCAATGAGCACACGTGTCGGTAGGTTGAGTGAGTGCTCATGGTATGTCAAATTTCTTTGCACTGAAAAATGCCAAATTAGTTGAATTAAGAGATTATTTTAAAAGCGTGTTATTACATAACCAGTTCTATTGACTGGGTGCGATATCACTCTGTCACTGAGGGCCGTGTTGGGGGCTGCGAATGACATTTTCGACAAATTGCATCATTAAAATGTGTACGTTCACACAAGGATAAGTTCGTTAACACATTTAAAAGATTCCTGGAAGAGGTTGACGAAGATGAAAATCTTTAAAAAATAGGGTGTGGTTAACGAGTAAACATCTATTGCTGCTCCAAAACTCTCATAAACTATTAGCATGTTAAAGGACGGAAGTGTTTTTTCGCTTTTACAGCTGTTGATTTCGTTGAGATTAACTCTGTTCTGAGTATGTGTGTATGACAAACCGCTATGGCTGTTACACGACACCGTTGCAACTGTGCAATCTGTTGTTTCAGTTCAGAGCACATTCCTTTTTTACCGTTTTCCATTTCCATATTTGTAGACACCCACTGAATGAGAGACGTAAGTTCTACGACCCCTTTTAACATTGCGATCGTATTCGTACGACAGTCGTAAGTCTATGTTAAAGTATAAGAGTTACGATCACCTTCGCGCTACGATCGTTTTGTGGAACGGACCACAGTCTATTATGCAAGGCATTTTAAGAAAAAATGCAAATGAATGATTTCAAAGTTTTTGCGCAGATCCACACCTTCAAAAACATCTTCTTGGTGAGGTTTAGAAATATCGTAGATGGTTGTTCATTTCAGATCAGTTAACGTAAGAAGTACGTAGTCTGGGGCCCCGTTTCACAAAGCTATCGTAGCGCTACGACTGTCGTAATTCAATGTTAAGGTATGGGAGTTGCAGCAGTCGTATCGGTACGATAGCTTTGTGAAACGGTCACCGGGGGCCCTATTCACAAAGCGTTCGTAGCGCTACGACATTCGTAAGCCAGTGGTAAACTATTGAGTTATGACAGGTCGTAATGTTACGAACGCTTTTAGGATCGGAACTCAGGTCATTTATTTCCTAAATATACCGCCAAAAAAGTACACACCCATGTTTGATGGTGCTTAACAATTAAACAAACACGATATTGTTTTCCGAAGCCTATGCACTTGATACGGGTATCACAGCTGCGTTTTGGGCCTTAAGTTTGCAGTGTTACAACAGCTGTTTTCAGTCTAGTGATGTTTTGATAGCTTTTGTAATTGTTTGGTGATCCAATTTCCTCCCGTCAGTTTATGACCGTTTGTACAATGTTACCATTTATGCTGGTCGTGAACTAAGAGGACATTCCCCACGCAGGTATCGGCTTAAAATAGAATAACAAAAGCCCTAAATGAAACCAATGAAACAAGTCTAGATTTCCCCAGGTTCGGAATCTGTGGTCTCACTGGGGCTCCTTTTCAATTTAAATGGGTTTATTTGTTACTATCAAAATTATATATACTCATGCCAATAATGGTTGTCACCCTCCCCACCCCAAACCCTCACACCCCCACCCCACACACCCTCTCCAATTAAAACAATTGAAGGGGGTGACAACCATTATTGGCATGAGTATATATTCAGATACTAAGCGTTAGTCTATCGTAACGTGAGTAACAAGTGATGTTTATTTGTGAGGATATACCAAATGTAAATAATCTTAAGTAACCCGTGTGAGTTAGATCTGCCGGACCAAATATACCATGCCACGTGGAATTGCATATAATATTTAGTATTAAAGTTAAGAATAGTAAATATTATTGTGTCGTTCGCGTTCACAACAGGAAGTTTCCCGCCAGCAATCGTAATTTAGATCTTGTTTGGCACTGAAGCTTCAAGGATTCCAACAGAAAGCTCATTAACTTTAAAAAGAAGGTATTTAGTTTGCAAAACAAACAAGACCAGCATTCCCGCCTGGAGAGGTTTTTTGGAATGGAAAACACTTCTCACCCTAACAATGTCTTCTTAATTGGATATACTCCTTTCTTCCACTTGACATCTCAAGACTCTCATCCCGGAGAATGGCAACTGTTCTCCCCAATCAACAAATAACCCTTCATCACACACAGCGGTACAAATAGCTCCACAGATCATGGAACTGTCGCTAGGAGAGTTAGCTTTGGAGGGTTTCCAAGAACTCTTTATCAGTGGCAGTTTTTGGTTTTGCAGAGGGGGCGATTTATACGGTAACTGCAAGGGGGGTCGTGGATGATGGAAACACAACACTAGGTCTTAAGTACGGCACACTATAGCAGGGCTAAGATACGGTACGCAACACTAGGGCTTAGGTACTGCACACTATAACAGAGCCAAGATACGGTACGCAACACTAGGGCTTAGATACGGCACACTAAAGCAGAGCCAAGATACATAACACTAGGGCTTAGATACGGTGCCCCTTGGTAAGGGGTAAGGACAGCAGTAAGGACGTGATACGGTACACAATAGTAAGGACGTGATACGGTACACAACAGTAAGGACGTGATACGGTACACAATAGTAAGGACGTGATACGGTACACAACAGTAAGGACGTGATACGGTACACAACAGTAAGGACGTGATACGGTACACAACAGTAAGGACGTGATACGGTTGATAACAGTAAGGACGTGATACGGTACATAACAGTAAGGACGTGATACGGTTGATAACAGTAAGGACGTGATACAGGGACACAACAGTAAGGACGTGATACGGTACGGAGCAGTAAGGAAGTATAGGACACAACAGTAAGGACGTGATACGGTACACAACAGTAAGGACGTGATACGGGACACAACAGTAAGGACGTGATACGGTACACAACAGTAAGGACGTGATACGGTACACAACAGTAAGGACGTGATACGGTACACAACAGTAAGGACGTGATACGATAACAGTAAGGACGTGATACCACAACAGTAAGGACGTGATACGGTACACAACAGTAAGGACGTGATACGGTACACAACAGTAAGGACGTGATACGGTACACAACAGTAAGGACGTGATACGGTACACAACAGTAAGGACGTGATACGGTACACAACAGTAAGGACGTGATACGGTAGATAACAGTAAGGACGTGATACGGTACGGATCAGTAAGGACGTGATACGGGACACAACAGTATGGACGTGATACGGTAGATAACAGTAAGGACGAGATACGGTAGATAACAGTATGGACGTGATACGGTAGATTACAGTAAAGCCGATAGTCCGTCGTACAGAAGCTGAAACAAATA